GTGGTGGCGGGAGAGGTGAGTTATGGGATGGGGGGGTGTCCCCAGCCACCCTTCTCTATCCAGAGATGATGCTTGGGGTCAGGATCAGGCCAGAGGTGCCCTCAAGCAGGGGACAAAGTGGGCGCGAGGCCACACTGCCTTGCCTCAGGGGCAACTTCACCCCAAAAAGCCTCCCTTGGGATAGGGAGGAGGAATACAGGCTGGAGGCGTCAGCACGGAGCCAGGGCGGGCGGGGGCTGCGGAGCCAGGGGGATGCAGGCATCCCGCTGCTTGACCTCCCCCACCCCAATCCCATCCCGCTGCAGGTGGAGATGAGCTGGAAAAGCTTCAACCTGGGGGACGTGTTCCTGCTGGACCTGGGACAACTCATCATCCAGTGGAACGGCCCCGAGAGCAACCGGAACGAGAGGCTGAGGGTACAGCTGGGGCGTCCCAGGGACCCTCCCTGGAGGAAGGGGGTGGGGTGACTGGCCACCCCCTCCCCGATCCGGGCTGACCCCTTCTCCCCTGGGTGCAGGCGATGACCCTGGCCAAGGACATCCGGGACCGGGAGCGTGGGGGCCGTGCCAAGGTGGGCGTCGTGGATGGGGAGGACGAGGGTGCCTCGCCGGGGCTCATGCAGGTCCTCACGCACGTGCTGGGCGAGAAGAGGGACATCAAGGCGGCCACTCCTGATGACAAGGTGGACCAGACGCTCAAGTCTGCCCTCAAGCTCTACCAGTGAGTTGCCGGGGGGTGGGTCACCTGTGGGGGGCGTCTCGCAGGCTGCCAGTGGGACCCAGCACCCATCTCATATGTCCCACAATGCCCCCCCGCCCTGGACAGCCACCAAGAGGGGGTCACGGCCACTGCAGGGGTGGGCACAGGCCTTTTGGATGCTGTTGGAGCAAGGGGAGTCCGTGGTACCCAGAGGGTTGGTACCCAACAAAGAGATGCTTGTGCAAGGGTGACCTATGGATACCTTGTCCTTGGGTGGCCCCATCGTATCTGACGCCCCCCTGTCTCTCCCCATGGCCACGAGCGAGCTGCCTGCCCTGGCAAGCTCCAAACCAGGTTGTCACCGGGGCAGGGGAAAGGGGTCCTTGGGTACCACCTCCACCATGACTGGGATGGAAAAGGTGACGGGGAGGGAACATTCCCACCCACCCCTGTCATCTCAAGGTGGAAATGGGGTTTTCCAGCCCCGTTTCTGACCCCTCCTCCTTTCTCTCTCCCCTTCCCTGTCAGCCTCTCCAACGCCAGCGGGAACTTGGTCATACAGGAGGTGGCGATTCGCCCCCTGACTCAAGACATGCTCTTGCATGAGGTGTGTCACCCTTGGGATGCTTTGGGGTGCCCGGTTTCACTGGCTGCTTTAACCCTTCGAGAGAGGCGCTTTGGTGGGCTTTGCCAAAGCGGCTTTCGACGGGTTAAAGCTGCCCAAAGCCCTAATTTCTGCTGTTGTCTCCCCTCCAAGGACTGCTACATCCTTGACCAAGGAGGGCTCAAGATCTTTGTGTGGAAGGGCAAGAACGCCAACAAGGAGGAGAAGCAGCAGGCGATGAGCAGGGCGCTGGTGAGCGCTGGGTCCGTGGCGGGGCAGCTGGGCTGCTGCCCAGGGCACCGGACACCCCGAGCTTTGTGTCTGAATCTTCCCAGGGCTTCATCAAAGCCAAGAACTACCCCATGAGCACCAGCGTGGAGATGGAGAACGATGGGTCCGAGTCAACCCTCTTCAGGCAGCTCTTCCAGAAATGGACCGTCCCCAACCAGAGCAGCGGGCTGGGCAAGACTCACACAGTAGGAAAAGTGGGTGAGTGCTCCCTTCTGGCACTGCAGGACACCTTGGATTGGGATGGAGGAGGGCTTGTGGGGACCCTGATGGCGAGGGTGGGGCTGCGCCTCAGCCCTTGTCCCTTCTCCCACAGCCAAGGTGGAGCAGGTGAAGTTCGACGCCACCACGCTGCATGCCAAGCCCCAGATGGCCGCGCAGCAGAAGATGGTGGATGACGGATCCGGGGAGGTGGAGGTAGGATGCAGGACCTCCTCGGAGCACCCCAGGGGACGCCCTGGGAGCCGCTGGGCAGGGGAACGCTGGCAGCAGCACAGCACCATCCCCGTCCCACCAGGTCTGGCGCGTGGAGAACCGGGAGCTGGTGCCCGTGGAGAAGCGGTGGCTGGGCCATTTCTACGGCGGGGACTGCTACGTGGTGCTCTACACGTACTTCGTGGGGCCCAAGGTGAACCGCATCATCTACCTCTGGCAGGTGAGACCCCCCCCACCCAGGTCACCGACCTGTGGGAACCTCCCCGGACTGG